AAACATGGGATCTCCGCCAGGAGAGACCATCGGGCTTCCTAAAGTCAAACGAATGGCTCAAGAAAAATACCGAGAGATAGGTAAGGAGCAAAGGGACGCCCCATGTAGGCCATGCCAACTTCGTCACGAATGACGAGCACGGATCCTGGTCAGATATTTCCGACTGGAGCTCTTCAAACCCCGTCACTCGAGTCATGAAGGTAACACTATCGACCCCCGCTATTTCTTTATAATCATTTCATATATCCATACATGCATTCATTCCATATGCCCATGCCCCTCGGACGATTCGGGCCCTGAACCGCTTGGGGGCTTGGGAACTAAGCCATCGCACGTGTAGTGAAATGCATCACAACGCTCCGTGTTGTGTCATGAAGCGGCAGTTGCCTCATTCGACATGAGCAACGACCAACCAGGGTTCGAAGGGCTCAAGGCTGCCCCACGTCAAACAGAGCAGGGGAGAAAACGCAGACGAGCCCCATGTGGCCCTCGCCCAGTCTGCCCCAAAGCAGACATGGTCATCTCAACCTTCTCGTTCGATCCAAAACCTCTCGCCAAGCCCATAGAATCTCCATCGAGGGGAGGCCGTCAGGCCACCCGGGTCGGTCTCCGGAATGACCCAGGAATCTACCGGGTTGCAGGTAAAGGAGCAGTGGAATGCCACAAGAGGGCTATGCTGAACCCGTCACAAACGATAGATCCAGATTCCACTCGATCATACCCGCTAGCGAACTCACCGAGCGCGTCACTCGAGCCGAGCGATTGAGGCAAGCGACAAAGCTCAGCCCTCTGATTGTGAGAAACCGAGGATGGGGTAATGCACACAACTCAAACTGACCCCTACCAAAGCCCAACGGGGCTCGGGGGCTCAAGACACCCAAAAAACCTGGGTCTGCAACCCTGAACTCGCCCCATCCCTCGGCTACGCTTCGACTGCACACCAAAAACCTAGGTCTGCGACCCCAAACTCGACCCATCCCTCGGCTACGCTTTGACTGCACTACAAAACGCCTGGTTTGCGACCCCGAACTCGCCCCATCAGGATCCGCGAGCTACACCTCGCCCAATCCCTAAACTAACTGACTAACTGCCTCAGCTGCGCGGGCTACACCAAGGCTAAGATCCATGACTTGACTCACCCGATCCCATGGCGTGCATCGACGCTAGGACCCACAAGCTCCGTCTCTGTACAATCCCTAAACTCACTGCCTCGCCCAATCCCACAGCGTGCACCGACGCCAGGATCCACGAGCTCCGTCTCGCCCGATCCCTGAAATTAACTCGCCTCGGCTGCGCAACGACGCCTTGGTTGATGACTCCGTCTTGACTAAAACACACACACACTCCCACTGACAAAACCCCCTAGGCGATCTTGCTCGAATCGCCCGGGGGCTCGAAACTACACCCATGAAGTGCGCTCGTCGCACTCACCGACGAAACGAAACCTCCCGGCGGGGACACGAAAAAAACCCCCAGCATTTATTCTCGCCTGAATCGCCCGGGGCACGAAACTACACCGCGAGTGCGCCACGCCGCACCACCGTCAAGACAAAAATCCCCCAGACGATTCTACCCGAATCGCTCGAGGGCTCGGGGGCTCCTGTCGGGTTTATAAACCCGGTGTCCCTCACGGACCGTCTTCCCAACAAAGGCTCGGCCCAGCAGGCAACGTTGCAAACAAACGCGCAACTCATGGGCCAGCCCAAGTACCTAAAACGACAGGCCATAAAGGGCGATCCAATCACCGACCGGAAGGTCTGGCCAAGGAGGAACGACGCCCATTTCCGACTCCGCCCACCTCTCCGACCGGAGCGCTCGTTTCGATCTCCACCCGCCTCCGGATGGCCTCTCCGATCGGAAGGCCTGGCCAAAGCACCGCCTCTGACTCCGACCCGCGTCTCCGACCGGGGATGCGCTGAACCCCTGCTCATCGCTGTTCTCCGACTGGCGCGATCAGAGCCGACTGGGATCAACCGATCGGGGACACCTGCACGGTAAGGACCAGGAAACAGACGGAGAAAGTAAGGTAGGGCGCACAAGTCAAATCGCAATACAAGGGACCATACCCTGCGCACCTGCCAGGCAGTACCCTGCGACCATCCTAGCAAAACAGAACTCAAACAATATTGTAGGCGCCGACATTTTCCCCTATAGTATTGTGGGCATCATTAACTCTCATACGGTAAGGCTCCCCCACATGCCTCTGGGCATCGACAGTGTTGTGGGCGCCGGCATTTACCGTACCGGGCAAACATGGTAAAACCCCTTGCATGCCTCTAGAAATCAACAGTGTGGCAGGCGCCGACGTCTGCCATACCCGAAGAGAACAACACAACCTCTCACGTGCATCTGACATTCAACAATATTATGGGCGCCTACCATTGCCCTGTATCCACCGGCGTGGGCAACAAGGCTTAGTAGCATATATACTCTCTCCCTCTCACTTATAAAATCATCCCCTTCATCTATAAAAAGGGATGTTCTCTCTTCCAACAAATGCAAGTTAATTCAGATTCATCAGATCGACCAAGTTCTCTAGTACACAATAGCAGAACCACCAGGTTCAAACCACAAGCACACGCTCGAACACTTAGCTCATAGCAAGGCTCCCGTCACTCTCGGCCCTTCCGACCGGAGTCCGACCGGACCTCTTGTACCCCTATCTTTCTTCTTCTCGTTTGTAACCCCACTACAAACTTCGAGCACCTGGACTCAAGAATAAAGTCACCGACCGACTCAAACTAGACGTAGGGCACGTTGCCTAAACCAGTATAAATCATGTGTCATTGAGTGCTAGACCACCTCCGATCACAACGTACGGCAAAACTATAAATATTTACTTGTTGATCACTTTCTGCACCGACAGTACGTATCAACATCAGATATCTTCAGATTACAAGAGCTCTTCATGTCGCTTCTCAGTGACTAAACACTACAGTTCAGATCAAGCATAACTAGTACCACTATTCAGATGGCATAGTCAAAGAAAATAGAATACTACTATACTAGACAAACATCAATCGGATACGACAGGTACAGGGTACATAGAGAAAGCAATCAGAGAACTTTGAAGACCATCCGAAGAATTATCAACAGCACAGTTTCTAATGGTATAGCTTCCTCTTTTGCTTTGCAATCACTACATGTTGATTTAATTCACATGAAAGAATGTGAGAGAAGAAAAGTTTGAACATGAAGCGATCAGAGAACTTTGAAGACCATACATTTGTTCTCCACATGATAACATTCAGATGTTTCAGTCTCCTCATTTCGCTTCCAGACAGAATTCTTAGCGTGACTAAACAAGATTAATTGAAAGCAGCAAACATAACTGAGCGAGTAGTACATCAAAGAAAATAGCAGCAAGATGATCATGTGGGCAGCAGATATGACCCTGAGGAAAATCGCTGGTTTCCACATAGGTATAAAGCCCCTGCCTGGTCCTTTAATCTTGCACCCATAGATACCATTTTCTCGCATTTTTCCCTGCATCCAACCTCAACAGAGCAGGGGGCTAATGGTGCGACTTAACCAAAACAGAAGTCATTGATTCAACAAAAGGCGTGTAGTGTACTAAAGTCTAAGCAAATCAAGCAAAAGACTACACTTCTTGATTTCCGAAAAGTACTAGCAGGAAAGCAATGCCGATCCAGTGGTCCAAAACGAAGCAAAACAAAATCACCCAAGCAACATCCATTGGATACAAACAAGTAACAAAATCGCTCAAAAATGATTGCGTAGATCAGGATGTAAACCCTGTGAACTGGGGAGCTTGCCAGCTTGGTACTCGCTCCCAGACTGTCGAGCAGCTAGGGTTTGCCTCCGCCGTAGCGCTACATATCAGGGCAAAGGAGGAAGAACCAAGGATATTATTGGGTTGGGCCTTGCTATGTTGCCCAGATACGGACACGGTATCAGATACGCAGATACGATGTTCTCCAATAAAAAAACGGTGACACGGAGGATAATTTTTTTTAATAATAATAACTAACTACACGTGATTTAACATGAAAACCACAGCCACAGTATACTGAGGCCATACCCATAGCCAAGTGACATATGGCATAACACATAATTTGAGTTCACAACTTAATAAGGTCACATCCACAGGTCCACAATAATGTAAATAATAAAATTAGTAGAAGAAAGCCATTGAACACACGGGCAGTCAGGCACCGGACGTGATTAGAGTGAGAGACTGAGCATAGGAAAGACAGGAGGAGACGAGGATCGAGGAACTGACTTATTATTGAATCTTGCTGGGATGGAGAAAGCCGGCCGATTCGACGGTGAGCTGCTTGGAGCAGGGACGCAAGGCTTCTGCTGTAGGGGGGCGGGTCGCCGGGAGCAGGGAGGGGGCGCCGCCGGATTACGTCGCCGCTGGCCGCTCGCTGCCCTGCCGCCGGTCGATTCTACAGTGAGCCGCCCAGGCCAGGGATGCTCCGGCCGCTCGCTGTCCCGCCACCGGCCGCCGGGCGTCGGGCGCACCTGGGCGGTGGTGCGGCGGCTGTGCGAAGTTGGGCTGCTTTGTTTCATGGACCGTATCAAAATCGGCCCAGACGTGTCTAATACATGTATCTAGATCAATACTGTATGTAACAACATTTCGTATTACGGCCTAGATACATATCCGACGCAGGTCTCACAAATCATCATGTCAGCTATGGTAAACTAGCACCAGTCGAGCTTATCAGCCCAGAAACCGACCAACGAATAGACTGATCAACTGAAAGTGGCTTAACGTGATCCTATCCTATGTAAGAATTGCATTATTATTATTATTTTTATTGAGGACGGATGGATGGAGTATGACATTATTATTATTATTTCTTTAAGATCGTATAGACCGACACACTACTGGTAACATTCTGTATTACACCACTCACAGGTCACAAATCATCAACTGAAACGCCTTCCAAACCTCTCGTGAAGAAAATTAAGAACGCTATCCATGGCTTGGCCATGCATACATGGCATCTCACAGCTCTCGATCTTGCACATCATCGCCTCCGCCGAGAACCGCCGCCGCCGCTTTCGTTCTCAATCACTCCCCTCAGAATCAGGACCGCCGCCAGCTTATCCAGGTTCCTGTTGTGCCCGCCGCACGCGAACGACTGCACGCAGCTCGGGCAGCCATCCGCGCCGGCGCAGCCGCACGCCGAGACCAGCTGCAGGGCCGCGACCAGCAGCTCGCCGAAGAGGCGCTCCACCTGCGCCGCCAGGCCGATGCCGCCGGGGTGCTTGTCGTACAGCAGCAGGACCCAGGGCGCCCTGTCACCACCATCACCCGGAGCTCCGCTCCCGCTCCAGCTCCCGCGCGCCGCCGCGGCGGCGCACCGCGTCCCGAGGTCGGAGGCGGCGCACATCATGCGCAGCGGCAGGACGGTGAGCAGCGCGTGCGACGCCGCCTGCACGCCGCCGTCGAACCCCAGCCCTCTCTGCTCCACGGCCGCCTTCACCGCCACGGGAACGCTCACCCAGACCGCTTGCGTGTGGAAGGAGTAGGGAGGCAGGTCCAGTTCGATGCTGTCGGACATCTGGTCGTTCGATTTCCATATCCTGTCGAACCTCACCTATTCCGTCGTCACCCTGCAATCGCTTGATTGAGCAGTTGCCCTGGGCGATGATGATGATGATGATGCAGTTTCATCACCGGCAGTTCCATCGCCATGGCCGTCGCCTTGGAGGATGTTGATCTCGGTGACGTCATGAACTCTGGTGTAGTACTTGAGATCAGCTGCTGCTCGGCAGTACGCCGTCCTCGTCGACAGATCCAGCTGCTCGACCAAGTAGCTGACGCCCTGGTGCATGTACACGGCGCCTTCGTGCACCTGGAACAAAAGCCTTGCTCTCCTCGATCTCCTCCAGCACCCGGTAGCCCTGCTTGTCCACCACCTTGTACCTGTCGTGCTCGATCGCTCGTATGCTCACCGCGCGAGCAGGGTTCTTGTCAGGCCCGACGTACTTGCACACGCCTGACTGATCGGAACTGTTCGTGTTCGTGTTCGTCAGGTGGCCCTGATCTCTCAGGGTCACCATGGCACCGTCCATGCCGGGACCAAAGTGCCTAGCGTCGTGCTCCGGGCACAGCGGCTTCTCGAAAGCGGCGCAGGCGAGGTGCTGCCCCAGGACCTTGCGGTTGCGAGAGTCGACGTGGCAGTGCTCCACCGGCTTGCCGAACAGCTTGTGCGGGAAGCTCATGAAGTACTGGTCCAGCGCGCCGTCGAGGCCGACATAGATGGCGATGGACGGCTTCGACCTCCGCCCGGAACGCCCGGCCTGTTGCCACAGGCTCGCCATGCTCCCGGGGAACCCGAGGTGCAGCGTCGCGTCGATGCCGCCGACGTCGATCCCGAGCTCGAGAGCGTTCGTCGCCGCCACGCCGCGGAGCGTCCCGCCGAAGAGGCCGGCCTCGATCCTCCTCCGGTCCTCGGCGACGTACCCGCCGCGGTACACGCAGATGGTGTCCGCGAGCTCCGCCGAGGTCTCCTCGAGGATCTCGCGCGCGCGCGCCAGCACGGCCTCGCAGAGCTTCCTCGTCTTGCAGAAGGCGATGCACCGGAGCCCGTGCTGGACCATCTCGGCGAAGAGGTGGGAGACCTCCTGCGCTGCGCTCGGGCACCTCCCTTGCCTTGACACCGACGGGTTCCACAGGAGGAAGTGCTTGGACCCGCAAGGGCTGCCGTCGTTCTGCACGAGCTCGACGTCGTCAGCGTCCAGGCCGGCGAGCTCCGTGACGCGCTCCCGGGCGTTCGCCAGTGTCGCCGTGCAGGATACGAAGGTCGGGTGGCTCCCGTACACGTCCGCGCACACGCGCTTCAGCCGCCGGAGGATGAGCGCGGTGTGGCAGCCGAAGGCGCCCCTGTAGGAGTGAGCCTCGTCGATGACGACGTACTCGAGGTTGGACAGGATCCGCCGGAACTGCGCGTGGCACGGCAGGATCGAGACGTGCAGCATGTCCGGGTTGGTGATGAGCAGCCTCGCGCCGTCCCTGATCCTTGCGCGGTGTTTCATCGGGGTGTCGCTGTCGTAGATGCTGACGACGTCGCCGAGGTCGCCGGCGCCCTTCACCATCCCCCGCAGCGTCTTGAGCTGGTCCTGCGCCAGCGCCTTAGTCGGGAAGATGTAGAGCGCTCACGACGCCGCGGCGGGACGCGAGATGGACTCCAGCACGGGCACGTTGTAGCACAGCGACTTGCCGCTGGCCGTGGAGGTGGACACCACCACGTGCTTGCTCTTGCCGGACGCGGAGGCGGCGGAGGCGATGGCCTGGGCCTGGTGGCTGTACAGCCTCGTCACTCCGATGGCCCTGAGCGCCTCCCTGGTGGGCTTCGAGAGGTGAGACGGGAGCGGGCAAAAGGACGCCTCGCTGCCGGGGATCTCCTGGACGTGCCTGATCTGGCCGTGCTTCCCGAGCCCCTGCTTGAGGTGCTCCACCATCCGAGCAGGGTCCAGCGGCTCCACGCCGTGGCAGTAGAAGGACGGCGAGGCCGGGTCGTGGACGGGCACCCCGGCGATCTTGGCGTACACATCCTCCCCGCGCCACATCAAAGACGAAGAAAACTTACTCCTTTTGGCCGCGGAGAACACAGGGGGGCCGGCGCGTGGGTTCGGATTGGCGCTCGCCGTCGGCAGCACGGCGGGCTTGCCGGTGAAGGGGATGAGGGAGACGAACTCGCCCCGGGCGAGTGAGAGGTTGGCGAGCTTGGCGTCCAGGAGGAGCTTGCCGCCGAGGAGGAAGAGGTGGAAGGCCGGGGCGTCCTGCGCGGGAGGGAAGCAGACACGCAGCGTTGCCTTGAGGTCCCGCACGGAGGCCGTGGCGGGCAGGCGCACGGACGTGGCGCGGCCGTCGAGCGCGCGCACGGGGAGGACCACCGAGCGTTGCTGCGCCGCCATTACTGACGCCTACGTAGGTCTGACGACGAATCGAAGGGAAGCGGAGCGCGCGATTGAGGTCTTGTTTAGCTCAAAAAGTTTTCCCAAAAAGTGCTTGTATGGAGCATTAAATATAGACGAAAAAAACTAATTGCACAGTTTGATTGGAAATCGCGAGTCGAACGTTTTGAGCCTAATTAGTCCATGATTGAATACTAATTGACAAATAAAAACAAAAGTGCTACGATAGCGAAAGCCCTGAAGATTTCAGAGATCGCGCAGCCTTTCCCGTCCATCGGCGGCGGCGCCCGGCCGAATTTGTTTTGGAAGGAGGCGACCGCGTGGCGGTGGTGTGTTCGACACGGAACAGGAGTCCGAGCACGAACGGCCCAAGCAAGTTAACGACCCATTTTTTGATGGCCCAAGATTCAGATGCAATTTCGGCGGCTCTGGGCCCAGGCAGTTCAGATGATTTACATAAAATTCCTTAAAAATGATTTATATAAAAACAACTTTTATTGCAGTTTTGTATTTTGGCCTTTTGTATAAGAGTTTACATTTATGTTTGTTATTATTATCATGGTTTGGTGTTTAGGGGTGTATAAGCTTTTGGGGCATGTTTCTGTTCTTGTAACTTACGGGTTTTATAATAATAAAAAAGTATATATACCTGAAAAAATAATGTTTATCGAGGGTTTGTATTTAGAGTTTATCACGGGGTTTGCCAAGGTAGGCACTAGAGTTTTTGTACCTGTACCAGATATATGTCCGTGCAATTTTTTGAATTGAATCTTAGTAATCGCACAAACACGCATGCGTTTCGAAGACTTCGTATTGGATGTGGACACGTGGATCCGGTTTTTGTGTCGTAAACGGGTATCATGGCTTGGTGTTTAGGGATGTATAAGCTTTTGGGGCATGTTTTTGTTCTTGTAACTTTTGGGTTTTATAAAATATAGTATATATACCTGAAAAATAATGTCTATCAAGGGTTTGTATTTAGAGTTTATCACGGGGTTTGGCAAGGTAGGCACTAGAGTTTTGAGGACTTCATATCAGATGCGGACACATGGATCTAGTTTTTGTATCGTAAACAGGTAGGCCGCGGGGCGTGTGAGCTCCTGGTGGAGTATGATTTGTACCAGATATGGACGCGTGAGCAGGGATCAAAATTTGGTATCACCGAGTATATGATGACTTTAGATGGGAGATACTAGCGCCCAAAATCCCGGACAAAAGCGCGTGTCCGGACGCCCGGGCGACCTTCGTCACGCGCGCCCACAAAAAAGGCCGTGTCTGCCTCTCCTTCCCTCTTGGCCCCCTCCTCTCTCCGTAACTGCGAGTCCAGACGCCCACGCGCCCGTGGGAAACGCCGCGCCCACCGCTCCTTCCTCGTGACCCCCCTCTCTCTGGACGGGCGAGAACCAAGAGCCGGAATGAGGACAAGCACGTCCCGTCCGAAGGATCCTAGGTGCGCTGCACACCCCGATCCCCACCCCACGGCTCGCCGCACCCCATCCCCTAGCGCTAGGTGAAAGGTCATAATGGCTAGAGGGGGGTGAATAGCCTAATAAAAATTTCTACAACAACACTTAATAAAATGGTTAGACAATTAGGAGGCGAAGCAAGTGTTGCGCTAGCCTACTAAATATGCAAGCCACCTACCACAATTCTAGTTTAGATAGTATATGTAATCACACAATAGCTATACCACTAAACTAAATTGGTGTGCTCTCAAAAGCTAACTAAAGAGCCACACCAACCAAACTAATAAGCTCTCACAACTAGCTACACTAAAGAGCTTAATAACTAGTTTGCGGTAATGTAAGAGTATGAGCAAGATTGGTATACCGCCGTGTCGTGAAAAGAACCAATCAATCACAATGATGAAAACCAATGTAGACCAATCACCTCGGAATCAAATGATGAACACAATGATTTTTTACCGAGGTTCACTTGCTTGCCAGCAAGCTAGTCCTCGTTGTGGCGATTCACTCACTTGGAGGTTCACGCGCTAATTGGCTTCACACGCCAAACCCTCAATAGGGTGCCGCACAACCAACACAAGATGAGGATCACACAAGCCACGAGCAATTTACTAGAGTACCTTTTGGCTCTCCGCCGGGAAAAGGTTAAGAACCCCTCACAATCACCACGATCGGAGCCGGAGACAATCGCCACCTCCGCTCAACGATCCTCGCTGCTCCAAGCCATCTAGGTGGCGGCAACCACCAAGAGTAACAAGCGAAATCCACAGCGAAACATGAACACCAAGTGCCTCTAGATGCAATCACTCAAGCAATGCATTTGGATTCACTCCCAATCTCACTATAATGATGAATCAATGATGGAGATGAGTGGAGGGCTTTGGCTAAGCTCACAAGGTTGCTATGTCAATGCAAGATGGCCAAGAGAGTGAGCTTGAACCGGCCATGGGGCTTAAATAGAAGCCCCCATGACATAGAGCCGTTATACCCCTTCACTGGGCATAACGCAGGCTGACCGGACGCTCCGGTCAGTTGACCGGACGCTGAGCCCCCAGCGTCTGGTCGCTCACAGTCAGCCACGTGTCCTGACTTCAACGGACATCCGTCTTGACCGGACACTACGTCTGAGTTGACCGGACGCTAAACACCCAGCGTCCGGTCGTTTACAGTAAGGTTCCAAAACCGATATTTGCCGACCGGACGCGTCCGGTCATGCTCAACCGGACCCTGCCAACGTCCGGTCACACTGTGACTTCTTACTGTGCTGACCGACAACACGACCAGACGCAGCCCTTCAGCGTCCGGTCGTTGAGCGACCCAGCGTCCGGTCAGTTGACCAACGCCAGCATCTTTGCGACCAACTCCATTTCACCTCTAACTTCTTCACCCTTGCTCAAATGTGCCAACCACCAAGTGTATCACCTTGTGCACATGTGTTAGCATATTTTTACAAATATTTTCAAGGGTGTTAGCACTCCACTAGATCCTAAATGCATATGCAATGAGTTATAGCATCTAGTGGCACTTTGATAACCGCATTCCGATACGAGTTTCACCCCTCTTAATAGTACGTCTATCAAACCTAAATGTGATCATATTCTCTAAGTGTCTTGATCACCAAAACAAAATAGCTCCTATGGTTTATACCTTTGCCTTAAGCTTTTTGTTTTTCTCTTTCTTCTTTCCAAGTCCAAGCACTCGATCATCACCATGGCATCATCTTCATCATGCTATGACCTTCATTTGCTTCAACACTTGGAGTGTGCTACCTATCTCATTATCACTTGATAAACTAGGTTAGCACTTAGGGTTTCATCAATTCACCAAAACCAAACTAGAGCTTTCACCAGGCCTTGTCCCCCGTGACTCTTTACTTCTAAAATATGAAATACTTGGATGCAACATACGACTGAAGCAGAGGAAACATTTGGAACATACAATTACAACTTGTGTGTGAAACATATGCAACATCTAAATAAAACAATTACAAAATGCAACATGAAAACACACTTATTGCAACATAAGACTAAAACAACTAAAATATTTTGAACATACTCTTGGAACATATGTGTGAAACATGTACAACATCCAGATAAAAATGCTTGCAACATACATGGGAAACAGATAAAACATTTTGAATAAACGCTTGCAACATGCCTATGAAACACTTGCAACATGCCTTTGAAACACTTGCAACATAAACATCCCAATCTACTTTTACAACATCTACCTCTGAAACACTTGAAACATACATTTGCAACTTATGAGAGGGGAGATTGGGGCCGGTTGATTCTGGCCTCGGGCGCGAGCACCACCAGACGGGCCGTGCTCATGGGTGCCCTTGGCTCGACCGAGGACCGACCTGAGGCGTGTGACAGCACCACGAGCACCAGCAGAGGCGGGTGTCATGCTCGAGCGTGCGGTGGGTGGGACTGTAGGAGCAAGGAGCGAGAGGCACGAGTGGGCGTGCGCGACGGGCAGGAGCTAGAAGCGAACATTACAGGGTGGGGCGCGTGCAGGGAGGTGGTTGTGGTGGCAAATGCGGAGTGCGGCGGACCGACGGCCGCATGAGGTAGTGAAGCATGCGATGGGTGAGCAAGTGGGTAGATATTTTTTAGAGAGAGATGTGGGAAACGTAAAGAGGAGGAGGTAGGCTAGCTTGGTTGTCCGCGCAGGCCCAGGAAGACGGCGTCCGATCAGACGGACGTCCGTCCCTGAGCATTACCGAGAAATGGCACCATACAATCACAATGGTTGTATTGGGTCACAGGCAATGATTTCATATTCAAATTTCAAGTTTGTGTGGAAAAGAAAACAACTCATCAATAAAAACCACGATTGCATCAGCCAGTTCTCTCATTCTTGCATGATGGGAGGTTTTATGCTTAGCAACTCCATCTTTTATGATCACCACCCTGTTGAACTAGATCACACGAATTAGTTGGACTCTGCTTTTGAATTCCAAAGAAAAGGAGAACAACTCAACTTTTTTTATGCACGTGTTGTGTGATTTTTTACGAAAATGTTTCCTTGAAATATAAATCTCTGCCCCTACAACTACAAGTGTAAATCTTCTCTAAAAAATCTACAAGTGTAAATTTAGAATTTGAAGCATATTAAAAAATCACGATGAATCTAAATCATGCACGAAACACCGAGTTGTTTGTGATATGTTTACTAGTACTGTTTTATTATAAAAAATAGATTTTGTGTGCGCTGGGCTTCCAATAGTGAGGTGTGTGTAATATTTTGTTTTCTGTAGCTAATCAAGTACTCACTCTGTCCAAAAATAGTTTCATTCTTTTTTAGGATTCACGAAATCTTAAGTTTAATCAAATATATATAAAATATTTATGATGATTAATAAATACCATAAGATTAATCATGAAATATATCTATATAATAAATTTATTTAGAGATACAATCATAGATAATACTTTATATAAGGCTAGACAAATTTAAAAACATTTAATTTAGCCCAAATCTAGAATGATAGTTTTTTTGGACAGAGATACTGGATCTTGCACCACGGTAATATACTCCATCTGTATTAAGATAACTAATGATAACACATAATTCAAGCTCACATAAATTAACTATATAACGTGTTCGACACGGAGCAGGAGTCCGAGCGGTGCGTGCACGAACGGCCCAAGTAAGTTAACGAGCCATTTTTGACGGCCCAAGATTTGGATATGCAATTTCGACGGCTCTCGGCCCAGGCAACTCATGGGATTTATATAAAAACAACTTTTATTGTAAGAGTTTTTTTCGTACGCTCGGCGAGCTCCCATGAGCACCACCGTCATGCGCCCTTGCTCGATGTGGAAGAGAGAAAAGGGAGGAGAGAGAATAAGATGGTTCAAATGAACCGTCGAGAGAGATGGGAAGAGATGGGGATTTTATTTATACCAGAAGCATGCTTAGTGCGTTGCAGCGGGAATTATTGTCATTTAGAACCAAATTAGACTATATAAAAGAACCAATTATTATAAATTAAACTTAGTAGATGGTGTGGCATGCTGATGTGCACAATTAAATGCATGCCGTGGATGACTCGCTGGCATGAATATTATGGGCTATTTGGGAGAGCTACAGCTTTAGCTTCTCCGAAGAGAATCACTCCCAACCAGCCAAACGGTCGAAATGCCAACTGATTCAGGTGGAGATCATGAGAGAAACACTTTTCCCTTTACACTAGGAGCTAAAACCCCCCGCTTTACCCTGCTCCATATTATACTCTAGAGGGGATCGACAGAGAATCAATTCTCATCGCTCTCCACTATGCTCCCTCTTAGTCAAGGAGCGGAGCTCTCCCAAATGGGGCTTCATAAATGCATGTGCTAATGGGCTTTAATTATTGTGATAGTAGACTATTGAGGTGGACAGCTTGCATATTGAGATAGATTACTAGTAAGATCTAGGATTATAAGAGATATATATATAGATTAGGCCCTAGTTGTAGATAGGTTTTATGCTCCGTGAAAAAGAAATTTGTGAATACAGACATTAATGGTGGTGTTGGTGTGGGGGGACTGGGTGGGAGGGATAGCTAATGTGTTTGGTGCCACCCAAGCAGCTCACGTGGATCCTGGCAAAGGCTTTCAGACGTGTCGTCAATAAACCACCTTGCGTATGGAGACATACTTATTTATTAGTTTAAATATATTACTCATTTTAAAATATTCTAAATCTTACTAGGCGACAAAAATTTCAAACAAACCCATATATTTTAGTATATTATTTATAATATCATCATAGTAGTATATAGAAAAATATGACCACATACTCTATGCATACTTACACATACAACATAATACTACTTCGGGTGATCTAATATGATCATATACTCAATATACATACATTTCATTGGGTCATATACACTCTGAATCTTGAGATACACATGTATGAGAATAGCTACTTGTTGCTTCTCCTGTAGTCAAGGCCAGGTGCCCGGACCTGGAGCATTCCTTCTCTGTCCTCAATGAGGAAGGGCATGTATGTCCCAAAAATCCTGTCCCACACCACGAAGAAGAGTTGAGAGTAGTTGTACTTGCCACCACGCAGCTGGTGGTGCACGTCGTGATACGCCGCGTTGTTCCAGAAGCTCAGGTGATCCCAGCTGGGTAGCAGCGACAGGGCGCAGTGGTTGTCGATGACCTTGACGGTGCAGAGCGAGAAGAAGAAGATAGAAGCCCTCGGCGACATGCCGGACACCAGGAAGGCGGCCGTGCCACCGATGCACTATTGGAGACTGCCTCTTTGCCGAGGGCCTGAGACCCTCGGCAAAGGCCCATTAACTCTCGACAAAGGCTTTGCCGAGGGCGGTCCTCGGCAAAGAGCTCTCGGGGAATTTTGAGTCGGCGAAGAGGGTCTTTGCTGAGGGCCCTTTATCGGGCACTCGGCAAAGCCTTTGTCGAGGGCTGGAGCGGCACTCGACAAAGAAAAGCAGCCGTCACGGCGCCGGCACCTGGGATGGAGTCTTTGCTGAGGGCCGTCTCCGGGAGCCCTCGGTAAAGAATTATTCTTTTTTTTAAAAAAAATCTTTGCCAAGGGCCTCCAACCATGGCCTACAGAATTTTTCCAAAAAATCTTTGCCGAGGGCAATGGGACTGCCCTCGGCAAAGAAATGTTACATAATTTTTTCAAAAAATCTTTGCCGAGGGCAATGGGACTGCCCTCGGCAAATAATTATTCTTTAAAAAAAATCTTTGCCGAGGGCTTCCCCGCAGGCCCTCGGCAAAGAAATTTTAATTTTTTTTAAAAAGTCTTTGCCGAGGGCCTCCAACCATGACCCTCGGCAAAGAAATGTTCTAGAATTTTTCCAATGAATCTTTGCCGAGGGTAATGGGACGGCCCTTGGCAAAAGACCCTTCTTTGCCGAGGGCCTTGGTCATTGCCCTCGGCAAAGAGGTAGAAATTTAAAAAAAATTTGTTTTTTGCATTCCATCGACACGAGCATGTTTCCCAGCTCCTTTCCAGTAACTCAAGCTAAGTAGCTAGCAAGTAGCAACACTTTTTGAGTGGATCTGATCCTCGTCATCACGATATAAAATGCACTGTTCAGACCTTGAGATTGTTTCCCTATAAAGAATTGCAAAGAGGAATTCCTTGAAGAATAAATACCAATAAAAGAGAATGGCGTATTTTTTTTCCTACTGCTTTGGCTAACTGTGTTTGATGTTTTAGTCATTCAGACTGCATTGTAATATCACAAGAACTATATTTCTTTTTCTTTTTCCTCACAAAAAAAGGAATTGTATTTCTGCTAAGACAAAAACAAAAGACCCTGTAAAGAAGGTACAGATGAAAAAGAAATCATGAACCCAGGAACTTTGCTGCTACAATGCTACTCAAATTGCCAGCTGAAAAAGACATTGGGCATTGTTCTTCCAACATTTTTAGAGTATTATATTTTCCAGCGTATGGGGAACAATGAAAAAAAAGAAGAGGCTAATTTTACCTTGGTTGATTTGCGCAGGGTAATTGAGGAAGGGGAGTGAGGCCTTGGTGAGGCCATTGGAGCCCATGAGCACGTCCAAGAGCCGGGTTCACCATATGCTTCACGAAAACCCCTGCACAAACGTAAAGTACCAGCTGAGCACCTGAGCTGCAGGCACACGGCGAAACAATTCAGAAACGCATAGCAGCAAGTGATCACTTGCACTTCTTGCAGGTGGTACAGATGGAGGCATGCATGCATTGTAGTGCAGTCACAAGGTCACCTGAACTGAAGCCTCCTGTACATGTACTCCTGGAGCAAGACAAGAGCATGAATTAGCTAGCCACCAAGGATGATAATGTAACTGTGAGAATAATCGTGAGCTGAAAAAGTTTCACTGTCAAGAAAATTTATGCAGGAAGCGAAATTAAAGCATGGGGAAATTCTTCCAGGCAATTCAGAAAACCACGCTGACCAAGCAAGCATATAAAAGTCTATGACCACGGAAGCAAAAGGAGGGAAGAAAAAAATGGTGTATCTATGAGTTAAATCAACTCGAGAATATCTAGACATGTGGATCACAAGATCAGCAAGCTAAGGTTGCCTTAATCTCAGTTCAATATCCCTTCAAAAAAAGGATAATAAGTTTATTATGTCCCTAGAACTAAATCATTGACCTAAAAAGAATGAAAGCATGAATCAGTTCTTTAGCAAAAAACACAACCACAAGATGCAAGCAACCACAGGCAACCTCTACTGAAAAAATCACTACAATAGAGAGAAGATTTCAAATTTGAGCTAATTATCATACAGAGTACAGGACCATCCTGCTTCTTGCATATTAGAAAAGGGAATGGACAGGATCTATTTACCAGAATACCATTGCACACACTGGTTGCAGTACCCTTTTAACACCAATTAAAACATTTTCAATAATGATTCTCTTTCTGTATAGCAAACCATCTTTAAATGATTCTTAAATTATCCTAAATTATTCCTTATGCACACATAAAATTATTCTCATCTATTAAGCGCTCTTTTTGTTTTGCAACTCCAGCAACTCCAAGGCACTAAACTGGTAGGCGCTAAGCTATATGGATTACAAGAGTCAAAATACATGTAAAAAAATGGATCATCTGAGCCATTTCAACAAACACGTTAGTGCAAGTGGGTCATAGGGACCATCCCATCCACCAAACTGGCAGGCGCAAAGGTGACCACGGCCTAGCATCCCAAAAATGCATGAAAAAAAACCGTTGCAAAGAAGGAGATATATCACACATACATCAAAATATCTAGCATCTAGGTCTGGTGGAAGGTGAAGTCGTGGAGACAAAGAGGCTAACCATGGGGGAGGAGGCAGATCGATGGCCTTCCGCATGAGGCTGGAGTCAATGGAGCACGCCTTGTCGGCGGTCTCGGAGAAGTTGCCACCGTCATAGCACTCCTTGGCATCCCCCACGACGCGGCACTCTCGTCCTAGCCGTCCTCCCACTCGTCAGAGTCCGCGGCTAAGAGGAGGAGATGTCGATGACGAAGGTCCGCCCTCGTAGGGGTTATCGCCGGGTCCGGCGATGGTGCCCGTGAGATAAGACATGTTGGCGCCGATGGCCGCGGGCTGGCCGCGCCGGGTCAGTAGGCGCGCCGCCGCCATGCACGCACTGAGCTCGGGCGCGCCCTCGGCCGAGGTCGCTCCACCAGCCACGCCTCGCTTGAGGCGGCTCCTCCGCGGCCGCGCCCACCGGGAGGAGGCTGCCACCGCCGCGCCCTGGATGGAATCACAGCGCCGCGGCGCCGCCTCCTGCCTCGTCTCTAGCCTCGATCTAGGTTTCAGGCGAGGGGGGCCGCCGGAGGGCCGGCCGGGGCGGCCGACCTCCCCTTGCTCGACGAAGACGGGGAAGGGAGGCAGGGCACGACCTCGGCCGCCATCATGTGGTGGGGGCGGCGGGCGCCGAGGCGGCATGTGGCAGCAATGTCTTGTGGCAAGCAAGGGCGCGGGCCTGGGTGGCAGCGCGTGCAGCAGGATGCTGGGCCGAGGCGGGGGCGCGCCTGCGGCAGGCGCGGGCGGCAAGGCTGGCAGGCAGGCGGGCGCAGGCGTGGCGCGGTGGCGGCTGTGGTGGTGGTGGAGGGGCGGGCGGCAGGGTCTTGGCGGGTGATGGTGGCCAGCTGGGGCCGGGTGTGCGGGCGTGGGGGGAGATGTGGTTTCGATCGGGATTTTTTTGACAAGATTTCGATCGGGAATTTGGGCTGGCGGCCCAATTTAGGTTTGGGCCCTTTGCCGAGGGCCCAGATCCAGGGCCCTCGGCAAAGATTTTTTTATTTTTTTTAAATTTTTTTTTGTCGAGGGCTACGGGCCAGGCCATCGGCAAATAGCCCTCGGCATTTTTTTTTGTTTTTTTAGCCTAGTTTTTTTGTGGTTCTACAATACATTGTTTTGAACTCAATTTTAAAATTTGGGCCAATTTTGACTTTTTTTATACTTCCTTCATTTATTTCGATTCTTTGATTTTTTTCGAATATGTCAAATTTGAACTGCAGGTGCATGTAATATTGCAATGTAATGTTTCGAAAAATGTTATTCATGTTAATTGGTGCATGTTGAGTCCCTATCCACGAACTCGCATCAAATTTCCCGCATCAAATCACCATGTGACACATGTGGAGATGTCTGGGTTTCAGGCATCCGACGTCTGCAACTCGCTCGAAACGTTCTCAATTTTTTACCACAGCCTACACATGCGATAACATGACATCTCACCAAGTTTCATGATTTTTGGACTTTGTATGTATTTTATATAATTTTAAAACACTTTTTCGGCAAGTCGATCGTCATGTTACGCGAAGAAGATGCGCAAAATTTGATGCGAGTTCGTGGATAGGGACTCAACATGCACCAATTAACATGAATAATATTTTTCAAAACACTACATTGCAATATTTCATGCACCTGCAGTTCAAATTTGACATATTCAAAAAAATCAAAGAATCGAAATAAATTATGGAAATATATAAAAAAAGTCAAAATTGGCCCAAATTTTAAAATTGAGTTCAAAACAATGTATTGTAGCACCACAAAAAAACTGGGCTAAAAAACAAAAAAAAATCTTTGCCGAGGGCCTAGCCTGGCCCTCGGCAAAGGGCTTCTTTGCCGAGGGCCTCGCCTCGGGCCCTCGGCAAAGACGATTTATAAAAAAAAAATTGGCCAAAAAACTGGTTCCAAAAAAAAATCTTTGCCGAGGGCCTGGTCTACGGCCCTCGGCAAAGACTTTTAAAAAAAAATTTGTCGAAAAACTGGTTTCACAGGAAAAAAAAACCTTTGCCGAGGGCCTAACGGGTGGCCCTCGGCAAAGCTTGACGGGAATGGCCACCGTGACCCAACGGACCTAATTTGTCGAGGGCATCTTTGCCGAGGGCCGCGGCCCTCAGCAAAGATTTGATTTGCCGTGGGCCTGTCTTTTCCAAGGGCCGGACCCTCGGCAAAGGCCTCTTTGTCGAGAGCCGTTCTTTACCGAGGGCTCCTGTGGCTGGCCCTCGGCAAAAAGTGTCTTTGCCGAGTTCCCGAGATTTGGTCCTCGGCAAAGCCTCAGGCCTCTCGGCAAAGCACGCGTTTCCAGTAGTGAAGCTCTCGAGGGGGTGTCCGTACAAGGCTCCGAAGGAGTAGGGAACCACGAGACGATGGTGCCACGAGTGGAGGTTCCGGTAGAGGAACCTGTTGGCGTGCAGGGCTCGGTGCCATGGGTACTGCCACAAGTCGAACCAGACCATGGCCACTGCGATTTGGCTGGCTAACTTCAGATAGGAGGTCTTTTTACTGATGGCGCTCTCTTCTTTGACCTGTATCCCAATTAAATTCAACAAAATAGCTAGTATCATAATCATTGTCACATGCAAGCACCGCATAATAAATTGTGCGTCCCGTTGCAACGAATTATACGTAGCAAGGAACCATACCAAAAAGAGACATATATGTAGTCATGCATGCCGGCACGCAATGCAATAATAATGATCTTAAGCATGCATATATACTAGGCACGTACCTTGAACATCATCACCATGGTCACCATGGCAACCTGCACGAGCTGCTGCTTGAGGACGTTGCTGATGACTTGTCGCTTCGAAACATGGTTCTTGCTATCTTCATGAGTGCTTGGGTGCAGCCTGTATTTGTCCATATACATGGACTGGCCAAGCGTTGCATGCAGGCCACAATACGCCCAGTACACCACGATGGGCACCAGGACGGCCAGACCTTCGTCAGAGAGTAGTAGCTCCATTTGTGTTCTCTAGTTTATTTGCTAGCTGTTCGATCGATCGATGTACGTATACTACATGCATGTGCTATGCAGGTACTGATGTGTGTCGATCTTACTACCGGAACGTCTCTATATATAATACTCTTGCTCTCTTGACTTTTATACGTATACCAGGGAGGACTGACGACAGTTATTCGCGCAGCAACGACTGACGGACTGGGTCCGTTTACTCGGTCTGCTCGCTGCATGCAGCTACCTAATGTTGTGGCTCATCCTTCTCTACTCGTCCGCGTCGCTCGTGCCGCTCTGTGTTGTCCCCCCCTCACGGTGGCAGGACGGATTCTGCTTGCGCTGCTCGCCGGCGTCACCCCCGTTCGAGCCGCGCACCCCCTACCTGTACTCCCGCCTCCCGTCTTCAAAAGTAGATTGGGTATCGCATCTTCCTCCTCGCTTTTCTGATATCTCGTCTTGGTGTCTCCTCCTCGTCTTCTACTGCCTTGCATCCTTCTCAGACTACGGAGACGCGCAGTGAGGGCCAGCGAAGGGGGTGCACTAGGGCGGGCGGACAGGACACGCCGGGGAATTACAGCGTGGACGCAAGCGCACGCTGTCCCCTTCCGTTACATGGGTACGTAGCGCTTTGGTCCCCTTTAGTTTTCTATTTTACGCGGGATGCTAAGATGATCCCGTTGGTGAGCCACGACGGCAGCCCACGGTTCGGTTGGCTGGAGACTGGGAGATGTATCCGGACGCGCTGCGGGCGTCGGACGTCCGAACACTAGTGCCCCCGATTTCAAAATATTCCATTTTCTTTTCTTAGATTAATTAATTAGTTAGTTAAAAAAAAATCTTAAACAACAATGACTCAACCTAGCAAGTAGAGAGTACCGTAGCATTGGCCGTTGCACCTAGCGTGCATATACGACGAACGAACGAAGCTGGTCCAGAATCTTGTGGGGGCATGTAGTATATGTTCGGTCTTGGCATACGTGACCGGTGACCTGGACTGGAGCTTAGCTTCTGCTAGCTACGACTGTGGAGTTATTATCAAAGTCATCGCCATTTTCACAGCGCGCCGGGTGAGAATTTTCGGCCGGCCAACCCATTTTGACAAGATGAAGTCAATTATGCATAAATGAAGACATATACATCACTACAGTTGTCCAATATAAGTATGGTCCAATTTAAAAACATTTAATTTAGCTCAAATGTAGAATGATATTTTTTAGACAGAGATAGTGGACGCGCCATAGTAATATACTCCACTTGTCCCAAAATAACTACACGTCTCGTTTCTTGAAAAGTCAAATGATGTGAAATTTAATTATATATGTAGAAAATTATATCAAAATATGTATCTCTAAATAAGTTTGTTGTACAAGTATATGATGCAATCAATCTCATCGTACTTACTACGCATCATAATATTAGTATCTTTTTATATATTTGATTTAATTTTTAATAATTTGACTCCTCTAGAAATGTGTGTTATTACTAATTATGACAAAAGGATCATTACACAGAGTAAAAATTAAAAGTATAATCACATTCCATCTATTCATGCAAACAATGATTATTATTTTGCTTGGAGTACATGCATATGGAGGCGCCATCGGTGGTGTCTCTAAGCAACTCTTAGATAGGAGGCATGGGCGGGGGTTGCGTGGTAAGTTTTGAGGCACCGGAGGCGGTTGCGGCATCTGTGGGTTTTGGTGTTATGCTTGCTCACTCATGTGCTGACTAGGTGACATGGCGATTGTCCTTCCAGCGGACGTCGAATGAGGCCAGAGGGTTGTGGGGGCTCAAGGCCTCCCCCCTTCCCGCTAGAGCTGCATATAGTTAACAAAGAGTTGTTTTTACAAAACTTTTTATTTTTAACAACTTTTCATTTTTAAGAAGCTCTTTTACTAAACTACCGAAGGACACTTTTTCACGTTTTGCTAAAACATCAAAATAGAGAGTTGGTTTACAAAACTGCCGGGGAGATGCTCTTATGGCTAGCAATGGATCGGAGTCTACTACTCCAAACATATATAGGTCTTTATGGGAGGCACTTGGAGGAGGGCACATGGCAAGCGAGGATTGGTTGGGATGAGTTGTTGGTGCTAATGATTACTAGTACTCCTTTATTATAAAAAAAGAGTTTGTGTGCGAGCTTCCAATACTGAGGTGTGTGTAAGATTTTATTTTCAGATAATTAAGTACTTACTCTGATACTCTGTTCAAAAAGAATTTCATTCTCATTTTTAGGAGTCACTAAATCTTAACTTTAATCAAATATATAAAAATATATTAATATTTATGATGCTTTATGAGTATCATTAGATTAATTATAAAATATATTTTTATAATAAATCTATTTAGAGATACCAATGTTGATAATATTTTATATAAACCTAGTAAAATTTAACAACATTTAATTTAGCCCTTTAGAATAACATTCTTTTGGAGAGAGGTACTGGATTTTGCACCATAGTAATGTACTCTCTCTGTCATGCATGTCTCTGTTTCTCAAGAAATCAAACCTTTTAAGTAATATAGCTAGATATATTGAAATTAGCATCAATATATGTATCTGTAAATAAGTTCAATATATGTATCTGTAAATAAGTTTATTGTAAATGTATATATGATGCAATAAATCTCATCATACTTACTACGTATAGTAATATTAGCATTTTTTTTATATATCTGATCAAATTTAAAATAATTTGACTCCTCGAGGAGTGTGCGTTACAGAGGGAAATTTTTTTGAGGGAACCACACAGAGGGAAAATTAAAAAGGAGAATCACACATCCATCTATTTATGCAGACATGGATTATTATTTTGCTTGGAGTACATGCATGCATAGAGCAGAGGCACGAGCGGGTGTGGGGTTCGTTGGATTTGTCAAGTGGTGCAGCAGTAGCAGCCACCCCCCACGCACTTGCCGCTGACGAAGCCCGCTTTCTTGCAGCACTTGTTGCAGAGGCCCGGCCGTATTATGCACCTGTAAAGGCATTTGATCTCTGGATTGTTGTCATCGCCGCAAGAAAACAATTCAGTTTCAGTGCCCACCCCAATTCTGGCCGCCTCATCTGCATCATATATCCATGTCCATGATCCATACATGGAGGAATTTCCTACTCATTCCATTCCAAATTGATTTTATACCTAAAAAGCCTCAATGACTTATAATTTAAACCAACTTTTCTGCAGGGGATGAAAGCAGTGGGGTCTTGTTAAATTGCAGACCTTGTCTTGGGTCGGGAGTTTTGGAAGCCTAGACATTTCATGCCCACTACAGCTTTTTACTGAGGCTAATAAGCTTGTTAGCCTTCGTTGGTGAATCCCTTATGCGAGAATCAGGTAAAAAAGCTGACTTGTGAAAAAAGACTCCTGAAAACTCAGACAGGACCTATGTAACTTACGTGAGGCGATGAGGACGACTAGCAGCAAGAGCATCAACGTTATCTTCCTCGCGCTGCCCATTGTCTTCACCATGATCTCCCTGTGATGAGCCAGAGAGCAAGTATGCAACTTGATATTTATAGATTATACAATGTTGTCCCCAATTATTTTGCTCCGAGTGAATCACTAGGCAGTGATAATTTCTTTCCTTACATAGCTCCTTAATATAATTGTCATCTTATTATTATCTACCTATTTTCTTCTCTCTCTTTTGTCTTCTCTGCCTGTATCTAATATATCTATATCTATCACTAATATTAAGAGGGGCTAGCTATACATGGAAAATGCCGATGCTTTGCTAAATCGATAATACTTGGCCATGGTCACCCGTCTCGTTTGGACGTGGCTCCTTCACTCATCCGCTCTGCCGCTCTTTCTCTCTCTCTCAAATAAAAAATCCCGTGCGCTTATCCCTTTTGTTCCTCCACTCATTCGCTCTGGCGCTCTCTCTCTTGAAAAAAAAACTCCACTGCATTTATCCCTTCCGTCCAAATCCATGACATCCCCTTCCTCATCAAATTCCTCACCTCCAAGGTCCATTTCTTCCCCGCCCCGGCACCATCGCCCGCCTCAGGCTCAGGACCAGTGGCACCTTGCTGCTCGTGGTGACTTCTCGTGCCAGTACTTGATGCGGATGCGGTGGCGCTCCATCTTGTCATCGAGCCAATGCTGCTCGGTCCCTATGCCCTCCTCTTGGTCCCTGGTAGTGACGTCGCCTCTGGCTCCGCGTCCCGACGCGGGTAGTGCGAGGACACGCGGCAACGCTTGCGGTTGAGCTTGGGGTTGCCGTCCTCGTTCTCCAAAGCTTGCTAGCTATCGCAGTCCCCCACTAAGTAGGCCATGGCCACCGGCGACGCTGTGTTTCAAGTTTTTCAGACGTTTCAGAGTTATGTTTTAAGTGTTTCATGTGAATGTTGCAAAATTCGATCTGGGATGTTGCATATGTTGCAATGGCAATATACGTCGTTGCAAGCCTATGTTTCATGTGTTTCAGACGTTTGTTTTAAATGTTTCATCTGGATGTTTTAAAATTTGATTTGGTGTTGCACATATTGCAATGGCTATACATGCAAGTTTTCGATGTTTCATCTGTCTTCAAATGTATGTTGCATATGTTTCATTTGGACGTTTTAAAAGTAGATTGGGTGTTGCATTGCAAAAATAGAGATCCTAGGCCTACCACAGGCTTCTTATTTACCTCGGCTGGCATACCTCGCCCTCTCCTCTCCTCTCCCTCCCCTCCCTTCCCTTTCCTCCATCTCGTTGTGGCGTGAGACTGAGCAAGCATTTTTTTGCGCCGGGCCAAAAAACCCCCAAACTTGAGTTATTTCAGAATTAAAATAATCCCGCCTATGATCTGTCCCCAAATGAGAATGATTCAGCATCGGCCTTTATTTTATAGTATAAAACAACTTAAATAAATATTTTGGATCGGGCTCGAGCCAAGAAAAAAATTTCTGGGTAGCAAGATCTGTGCCTAGGGTTTGTCCACTAAGGTTCGTGGGCGGGCTAAAGCTCATCGGGCTCGGACTGGGCCCGTGGGTTAGGTCGGGTCGGGCTCAAAATGCT